AATTTTTTAAATGATTTTAATTAAGAACTGGCCAAAAATTGACCCCCAATAGAAGGCCACCCAAAAAGTAGCGATGTGCCAGGACCACTGTATAAGGGCATGCCCTTTTATTCTGGGGGGGGGTTTAGTTGCTACTGTTCGCTCTATCTACAGACTGCAGACAGTGACCAGTTCGAACCCTATTGCAGATAGACTAGCTAAAGTTTACCGAAAAGAGTACACGACTATCTATTAATTCTCTTTCTTAATTAACTTTTTGATTTTTTTCATGTACTCTTTAACTAACTATTGTTTTTAAAATGAATAGTTAAAGAACACTAAGCGTTTTTTCAGAAGTTCCTGTTATTAAGACATGACTAAGAAACTACAGTCTCTTATTATGAATCCGTTTCGTTAGATAAAATGGTAATCTTCTCAAATTTCGTTTAACCTTGAAACATCAAGACATCATTCCGCGACGTGAATGTTATGATCTGCCATTCCTGGCAGCTCATAAGACTGTGTTTTCTTCTTCTTCTCCTTTCTTTCTATTATTGCGCAACTCTTGTTCCATTCTTTCGTTTTCGTTTCTTTCTGTTATTGCACAACTCTTGCTTCATAATGGGATTTTCCTAAACTATTTCTGTTCTTATGTAACTCATGCGCAACTCTTGCATAACTGTTGTTCAACTTGTGTACTATATATAGCCGTTCACTTTCTTAAATAAACATGAGAAGTGAGTGAGTAGAACCTCACAGTGAAGTACAAGAAAGGATGCTTGCATAGCGATGGAAATGGCTTCTCGCGACCAGAATCAGATTTTATGCATAAATGTGTATCCAATTCCGGACGGAGACACTGATCCAATTCTGCTGTGGCGTTTTTGAAACAGAAAATATTTCATGAGTTTATTGCGGGTTCTGTGCTTGATTTCGAAAGTCTCATATAGTATTTCAAAATGCGCATAGCCGTATTTGAAGCAGTTTTTTGCGCTCTGCAAAACCGAAATCCATTTCGTATAGTGGCAAATACAGAAACGCTCCGAAATACTGATTTCTGATATTCTTAACTACGCTTCAGGGTTCCGTGCAGTACATTCAAGAAAAAGCTTCAACTTTCTTTGCTAAACAGAAAATCGTGTCTGTTCTTTTTTGTTCTAAGATCTCCTGGTTTTCTGGTTAGATTCTTTTTCGTTTTGGATTCGCAATCTGTATGAAAACAATCTTCGAATTGGGTCAGTGCTCAACGGATGATGATGGATAGAATCAGATATCGATCGAATTTATTGCCTCCGCTGACAACAGTTAATGATCCGATAACTCAGCGATTAACATTATTAAATGTTTTTTATAGTCTTAGCAAACGTAGATACAACTTAATTTTCTATAACTCTTGAAAGCTTTTCTCACGTCATTCCCCTAACCGTGCTCTCTATTCTTCATTATCCATCACCTTTCTCGGAGTTATGAGTCGAGCACAGATGTGAAGTCGAGAGCCTCGAGTTCTTCAGTTTTTTTAACTGTGATTCCGCGAGATGTGATCGCAGAGGGCTCTGGTTGGTCTCATTCTGCTCACAATTTGATTCACTATCGGGTGTGATCACTTTCAGGGTCTTAAAATTTTGAGAGGATCTCTGGAGATCCACCTTGGAAACCTTACAGGTTTCTAAAAGTGACTCCAACGGATCCAGCATCACGTTCTATCTCTAAAATCATAGTTTCAGGTCTCTCCCATGAGCACTGACTCGTCTGGAGCCCGATGATCTGAAGGATTTGGGCGAAAGTGCTGTTCTATTCGATGTAGGTCGAATATCTTTTGAACAAGAACAAATCTCGAAAAAATGGACGTATAACTTTGTGAACATAACTTTATATACATAAGCAATTGAAGCAAAAACAGTTGTCGCATTTTCGTCGCTGTAGTTTCGGCCTTCCGCAAAAACCTATTCCTCGTCTTGGAGATCTGTGTAATTTCTTTATTCCTTAGCATACTTTGCAGAAACGTTCGTGTTTTTTCAAATATATGGTTCGTTGGGTTTTCTGGTACTTCCTCGTATGCCTTAGTTTTAGCCATATACTGGTCAGATTTTGTCATATATTCGTGAAGTTTGGTAAACGGCAACGTTCATCAAAAACAAAATGAAATATTAAAACATGGCATAGTCTTCGAAAAAAATGAGCAGACACATGGTTTACCATTGCGAGCGGACCACAATTTACGGTTACAAGCGCGCAATATGACGACAACTAAAAATTAATTGACAGCATGATGTATTACCGAACTAGAAATGTCAAAAAAGAATGAACTCAATATACGAGAACAGAGCCATAAGATAGAAACAAAAATTCGCCTAAAAATGCCTCCAGCTACTCTGAGCGTAATGGACATACCGTTAGTCGCATACAATACGTTATCGTCTTATACTGAGTACACTACAAAGTGGAACAGTATCATAGCAAAAGCTAAACTCGAATTAACAGAGGTCATGCTCAGAGCTAGACAGGATAAATTGCAACAGATTTAAAAAGAGGTGGATGAAAAAGTAACAGTTGTTCTAGAAAATAATCAAAAAAACAAAGAATTAATAAAAGAGATATTTGAAGGGATGGAAAGCGATAGTAAAGAAAGAATGATAAAACGGCAACGTTTTTTAGAAGAAAAAGCCGCAAGAATGAACGATCGTTAAGAAAGAAGAGGGAGCTAACTTACCCGGATTTTTCACCATCCCGTTCCCGCCGCAGGCTAACAATGACTTTACGGTTTTACAACCTGGAGAAAAACGTATACTGGACAAAGGTCCGAAATTTGTTCTGTCAGCATCTCATACTGCAGTAGAACGGCTCGGGAAAGAATATAATACATTGAACGAGAAGTTAACTAAAAAATTCAATAAAATCATAGGACAACCGGAAACAAAAAAGGGGCAGGTGGTAGAAGAATTTACCAAACACATTTTCCAAGAATTTGAAGTAGGCATCAAATGAAAAAGTCGATATCGAAGCAGTAAAAAGCGTAAGAAAACTACAACAGAGGCAGAAAAAAGGAGAGGTCATTTTTCGAAAAACTGACAAGTCGAAAGTATTTCACGCGAGTAAACTTCACGAATATATGACAAAATCTGACCAGTATATGGCTAAAACTAAGGCATACGAGGAAGTACCAGAAAACCCAACGAAACATATATTTGAAAAAACACGAACGTTTCTGCAAAGTATGCTAAGGAATAAAGAAATTACACAGTCTATATATAACAAACCAGCCCCAGTAGCTGAACAGACCGGTTTACCACAGTTATATTACAATCCTAAAGACTATAAGCCCGGGGTACCTTTAAGGCCAATTATAGCTGGAATACAATCCACACACTTTTAATCGTTTACACTTTTATTAGTTGTAATGTCAGTCATCTAGCGGGTAAAGTAGACGGAGGAAATAGATGTACCACCAGTGCTATTCTAGTGTTTGTTTGCCTTTATCATCAGATAACGAGTCAAAGAGCTATTGTAATTAGACTCTGATACACAACTGTATTAGCACAATGTCAGCCAAATTGATTTTTCGGAAGGAGATGCAGTGTTCCATCTAATTTCTAACTGTTACTATTTTTTACTGATACAAATGATACGTGATGGACGCGGCTGATTAGCCAAATAAAACTGATGATTGTGAGAAACCTATATTTCCTCTAATTATAAGTCCTTGAGTTGACTGTATGTGTGCGTTAAGATATGTAGTATTACTCTTTTATTCGACTACTCTTTATCACAAACTACAAAAACCTAACTTCACACAAGAAAAATACTAATATATATGTACTACTGGATGCACAAAAGATAAGAACCAAAAAGAACAAAGCGAGGAAGGAACAAAAACAGACAAAGAACAGGACAAAAGAGAGTGGTCCTACCGGAAGAAGTACATACAGATCGCAAAGACAAAGAAAACAAAAACGAAAAGCCTAGAGGAAAAATTAATCATAACAACGGGAAGGTAGAAACGGGTTAAAACAACAACAACACAAACAAACAAAAGAGAAAAAATAATAAAAGCAAAAAATAAAAACATATGCGGAATCATGGAGTCAATGTTTTGATCGAGCGAGATGATTTCGTATGTAGTGCACGATGATGGAGTGACGGCGGAGACGCGATGGTTCGGTGGTGGAGTGCGCGACGTGGTATGAAGATGAAGAAGATGGAGGGTGCGATGGTGAACCGTCACACAATCGGCGGTGAGGTCGAGGAGAATATCGCGTGAACGTTGAATGCGTGACGAAGAAGACGGTTGCGGGAAAAACGATGGTGCTACGTATGTGTCCGTAACGCCTTAGTGTAGGTGCAGAACAGATTGAACGAGGTGTGCGGTGATGGTAGCGAGACACGAAACAGTAAATAGGAGTTCGTCGACGTCATCGGAAACGGCTGGAGTGGTAACGGGTGGTGGAGACGTGAAAGTGGATACGGGCACTGATGACGTGGATCAAGGTGAAGATGGCATGATGTAAGATGAAGTGTTT